TTTATCCGAGATTTTATTCCATTTATTCAAATCTTCCTGGCATTTAGATTAGCATGACAATCTGTCGTCTGAAAAGTTCAAGAACTATCTGCTTTGAGATAAACCCTTCCTGTGTTCAGAAAACTATGATGTTGTGGCTTTAAGAAGGGCAGTCCCACTCTCCTCCTCGCACCAGCCAAGCTCTCACATTCAGGGGCCTTGAGCAGCTGAGCGAGGCAGATAAGCCCCCAGGGGGTTCAGTGCAGGGGTCCCTCCTGGGGCCCTGCCAGACCAGTCCTGCCACAGCAGAGGACAGCCTCACCCACGGGCTCACACTGCTGCTTGGTGTGATGATTGTGCTCTTAGAGCGGCCCTTCTCGAAGGTGGGGTGATTTTGCCCTCCGTGGACATGTGGCGACATCCAGACACAACTGGTCTGTGTGTGTGGTGGGCAGAGTGCTGTCAGCATCTAGCGAGCAGAGGCCAGGCCTGCTGCTAACTAGCCTGCCATGGCCCGGACAGCCCCCACACCAAAGAATTCCCCAGGTCATGGAACCCATTCTACTAAGTGATGTATCTCAGGAATGGAAAAACAAGCACCACATGTACTCACCAGCAAATTGGTATTAATGGATCAACACTTAAGTGGACATACAGGAATAACATTTATCGGGTGTCAGGCGGGTGGGGGGGGGATGGGCAATAATATATGTAACCTTAGCATTTTACCCCCATGATATGCTGAAAAACTAAAATAAAATAAAAAAGAATTTTCAGCTCAACATGTTGCTGGCGCTGAGGGTAAGAGACCCTCCCTTACAGTAACCAATTTGGGAAAAGAGTCACTTCTGATATGTATTTTCAGGCCCACCCTCTCCCAAGCTCCAATTCTGGATGAGTTCATTCCTTCCTTCTAGATGCACAAAGTGAGGCCTGCAATGGTATGCCAAACCCCGTGTAGGTGCTGAATCAAATGGCAAGCGGAAGTGGCCGCAATCCTTGTCCTCAAAGAGGAGATCAACATCAAGAGTGGATACCTGGAGTGTCTTACTCTATGGCAGACACTGTTTTAAACACTTTACTAATCCATTTAATTCTTCCGATAGTCCTATGGGGCAGGTACTACCATGTTTCCCTGAAAATAAGACCTACCCATAAAATAAGCCCTAGCAGGATTTCTAAGCATTTGCATGATATAAGCCCTACCCTGAAAATAAGACCTGGTGATGGACGTGGCTACGCAGCGTATCTGCACAACCCATGCATTTTGTGGCGGAGTGGTAAAGAAGACGAGCAGCCCTTCTCATCTGCCCCATCGTTACAGCTATTATCCCAGAGGTGACCGGAAAGGTGTGGGAGACCCCACCAACAAGGTTGTCTCCCCCTGTCAGGTCCCTCAGCTGCATGCTGCAAGTTGAGGCTTTGAGGGGAAAATAACACATCCCCTGAAAATAAGCCCTACGGTGTCTTCTTGAGGAAAAATAAATATAAGACCCTGTCTTATTTGCGGGGAAACACGTTATTATCGTTCCTGTTTCATTAGCGAGATAATCGAGGCACATGTAGAGAGGTCAAGTGGTTTGCACAAGATCACACGGACAGCAGGTGGTGGTGCAGGATTCAAACTCAAGCCACTGGGCTACGGGGCCCATCTGCACCTTTAACCTGCACGCTATGCTGAGTCTCATATAAACGAACTCACAGCTGGGTGATAGCAAATTATTAAAAACGACAGGAAACAAACCCTGAATGTCTATTATAAAAGGCTCTGAAGAGGCCTCCTGAGGAAAGGGCCCTGAGCTAGGCTCTGAGGAGTCGACCAGACAACCAAGGGAGAGCAGAGCCCTCCAGACAGCTGGACAGCGTGTGTGTTAGTTTTCCATTCCAGGGATAACAAGTCACCACAAACTCAGTAGCTTAAGACCACACACGTTTATCCTTCTCACAGTTTGTGGGTGGGACGGGCGTTGGGTGGACCAAGTCCTTTCTGAAGGCTCAGGAGGAATCTGTTTCTTTGCCTCTTCCTGATTCTAGGGGCCACCTGCATTCTTTGGCTTGTGGCTCTCTTCCATCCCCAGAGCCAACAATGACAGGATGAGTCTTTCATCAAATAGCTCCAACCCTCCCTTCTACATCCCTCTCCCACCTTTAGGGTCCTTGTCATCGCATTGGACCCACCCAGATGATCCAGGATGACCTCTCATGTTGAAGTTTGCTGACTCACAACCTCAATGCCATCTGCAACCTCACTTCCCCTTTGCCGTGCAATCTAACATAATCACAGGTTCTGGGGATTAAGACGTGGACATCTTTGGGGACCACTGTTGTGCCTAGCACAGAGAGCATTTGCAAAAGCCTTGCAGAAGAAGAAAAGAGGAAAGTATGAGGGGTAGAGGAAGGTCCACATGGTTGAGACACAGCAAAGGAAAAGAGTAGCAGGCAGGAGGCCAGGCCAGAGGGCCAGACCTCATGGGCCTTGGAGGTGAGGTTAGAAATCTGGTCATGTTCCTGAGAGCAAGGGGGAGCCTCTGAAGTGTGCTAACCAGGGCACTGGCATGACTGTGTTGCCATTTGGAAAGGTCACTCTGGCTGACGTGTGACAGAGAGTGAAAGAAGGCGCTAGAGTTGGGCAGGTAGACCCGTGAGAGGAGGGGTCGTGGCAGGAGGCTGGATAGGAAATGGTGGCAGTCTGGACTGGATTGAAGACAGAGAGAAGCAGAAAGATGGAGATTCGAGAGAGAGATTACAAATGAACCCCCAACAGGACTTGGGGTTGAGTGAGTGGGAAATGGAGAATGAGGGACAGGGAGGAGTCAGGCAGGCTCCCAGTGCTACAGAGAAGAGGTAAGATCGAGGAGGAGCGCATGGCAGGGGCGAGGACCCAGGTTTGGAAGCACTGAATTTAAAATGTTCAAGAGGAACTGTCGGCTGGGCAGGAGGATCTGTGCATCTAGAGCCCAGAGGAAAGGCCTGTTCACGGTTGGTGCACTGACTGTTGGGTGTTTCCCGCCCAGCGTCCTGCTGGCAGCTCCAAACCAATATACCTCAGTCCAAATCTGTTATCTTCCCCAACCCCACTCCAGCACCTGCATCCTTTTCCTTGTTCAGGTACCACCCCACAGGGTCAGATGTCTCATCTAATCCATCTTGTCTGGCCCTACAAGGCCCAGCAATGTGTTTGGCACTTTGTAAGAGATGAATAAATGTGGTAGAATAAATAACTGACTAAACCAACGAATTCATCAATTACCTCCAGGTCTCTCTCTGGCTCCCTCTGTTCCGCTCCCTGCACCACGCTCCCTCATCCTGTTTCTTTTGGGCAAAAAATCTGGTCTGTTTATCTTACAAAGATCTGGGGTCAAATTGTGTTTTGACCCCTAGCACCTGCAGCTGCAGGACCTTTGACCTTAAAACTGCAAAGGATTCTGTTTCCTCAGCAGCTCAGCCGGACGGTCAGAGGGAGACTTAACAGAACTGGCAACCATGTCTGGGTTATATTATGTGTTTGGGTGTCTGAAATCATGCTTATATCCTATAAGAGATATGCTTCATAAAGAATTATCATAAATGTATTTGTTTAAATATAACATTATAGCTTTTTCAATCAGATAAATATTCCTGTGTATACATTATTTTGTGCATTCATGTCCTTTAAGACAGCAGTCCTCCAGGTTTTTGGCATCAGGAACCAGTTTCATGGAAGACAATTTTTCCGTGGACCAGCGGTGAGGGGATGATGATTTCAGGATGATTCAAGCACATTATATTTGTCATGCACTTTATTTCTGTTATTATTCCAGTGTTATATATAATTAAATAATTGGCCAGGCACAGTGGCTCACACCTGTAATCCTAGCACTCTGGGAGGTTGAGGTGAGTGGATCATTTGAGCTCAGGAGTTCAAGACCAGCCTGAGCAAGAGCAAGACCCTGTCTCTACTAAAAATAGAAAGAAATTAGCTGGACAACCAAAAATATATAGAAAAATTAGCTGGGCGTGGTGGCACATGCCTGTAGTCCCAACTACTCGGGAGGCTGAGGCAGAAGGATCACTTGAGCCCAGGAGTTTGAGGTTGCTGTGAGCTAGGTTGATGCCACGGCATTCTAGCCCAGGCAACAAAATGAGACTCTGTCTAAAAAAATATATATATGTATATATATACACACACACATATATATATGGTGAGTTGTATAATTATTTCATTATATATATAAAATGTATATAATAATATATATAAAATAATATCTTAAAATAATATATATAATAATAAATATAAAAATATATATGATAGTTGTATAATTATTTCATTATATATAAAATATATAATAATATATAAAATAATAATATATAAATATCTATATATATTAAATGAAATAATTATACAACTCACCATAAGCAGCATCTAGTCCTGCCACTGATCTGACAGGAGGCAGAGCTCGGGCGGTGATGCAAGCAATGGGGAGCGGCTGTAAATACAGATGAAGCTTTGCTCGCCCACCTGCCACTCACCTCCTGCTGTGCAGCCTGGTTCCTAACAGGCCACAGACCAACACTTGTCCTCAGCCCCAGGGTTGGGGACTGCAGCTTTAAGGTTTCCAGGAACTCAACACTCATGTACCACACAGAACTTAGCAAAGAGAGGAACAGCTGCTCGCAGAGGAACGTTTTATTGGGTCAGAGCCTCCCCCAGCGTAAAGCTTAATTAATCAATCCGTCAGAAAAGCATCCATTAAGCTCTGCTCTATTAGTCACTGCAAATAAAAAAAAAAAAAAAAAAGAATTACGTAGACATATTCCTCTAAAAGTTTGCAGGCTGAGATTGTCTTCTGCCTTCTGTTTTTTGCACACCACTTGTTAGATTGCTAAATAAGAAATTGGACAAAAACATAGCAGAATGTGTTTTTTAAGTTCTAAAATTCTTTTTAAGTCAAATGTTGTTAGTTCATTAAATAACAGCAAAACTATAGTCAGAGAATTTTCCTTTTCTTCATTCATTCATTAAATAAATTTTATTAAATGTCTATTATTTGCCAGGCAAGGGAATACAACTGGGAACAGAAGAAACCTGCTCCAAATCCTGGCTGGGGCTTACATTTGAGAAAAGGGAAATAGTCAATGAGCAATAAATAAACAAGAAGATACCAGGTCCTCATGATGGAAACAGGACTGTATGAAATTAAGGAGGAGGTGCTGTAAGTTAGACTTCTAGGAAAGGCCTGCCACAGCAGTTGACATTTAAGCAGGAACCTGAATAACAGGGAAAAAATATATTAATACAAAGATCTAAGGGAAGCATCCCAGATATTTTTAAACTAAAATCTCCATCAAGCAGGGACTGAGTCCTATTTAACATTATAGTAGCCAGAATTACTACTACAGGATGTTAGCTCTTCAAGGCACTCAATAAGGACCAGGCGTTTGTGGTTTTTAGAATTTGTTTTTCAGAATTTAGACTCCCTAGGGCCTACCTGACATCTTCTTGCTTTGTAATCCTCCCTGAACCAGTATCATAATCGCTAAGGAGCTATGTGTTGAACCAGCAGATCCAGTCCTTTTCCATACTGGGCCACAAAGACTCTTTCCTAGGCTGGAAGTTGTCTAACCTTGACTCTTTCTTTCTAACATTTTCCATTTCCCATTTACCTTTTACTGGGCTCAAGGCTTTGCCCAGTTTCCAGATGGGATCTGCTTTGGCACCTTAGGAGTAACAGCAGGGAAACCTGTCCCTTCACTTCTGAACCACAGTAAAGGACATGACTTGGCTGGAAAGAGCCACCCACTTAGAGCCTGACCTCCCTCCGTACCAGCCTCCTCATGAGCTGATCAGATTCCCTCAGTCTTCTCTTCTGGGATGTCACATCCTCCGCCAGAGGAAGTTCTTTCTTATGACCAGTCCTTCCAGCTACAACCTCGTTCCATGTCTGGAGAGCTGGTTCTTGCTGCTGAAAACCAGTGGCTGACTCATCTGTAGACTTGACACAGCTGGAGAAAAAATCGGTGAAGCTGAAGGTGTATCAATGGAAATTAAACAAACTGAAACACAAGGCAAAGAAGGGCAGAAAGCATAACAAAATGAAACAAAAACAGGACAGAGTATGTAAAAGCTATAGGACAATAAAAGTCAATGCCTGGAAATGCAGTGGTTATATATTCTGGAAGAATCCTAGAGCTATTAGTTCAACCCATCCCCCTCCATTCCCTAGACAGAATTAACTTTGAATCCACTTGAAAGTCAGCTTTCAACCTTAGTTTCTAAGACATCCTCTTGGCTAGCAAATTCTGGGATCATAATATAGAGAAGGTCTTAGTAGTAAAACAATGTTCTTATGGTATAGTTTAGGGGCCATCAAAATAGAATTGCCAGATAAAATGCAGGACATCACTTCAATTTGATGTTCAGATTTTTAGTATAAGGTATGTCTCATGCAATATCTGAGATATATTTATACTAAAAAGAGCATTCATTGTTTATCTGAAATTCAAATTGAATTGGGCATCCATATTTTTATTAATATTTGCTAAATGTGATAACTCTGCATTAAAAGCCGCCATGCAACCCACTCAATAGACTCTAATTTCTGACCACCCACGGTCCTAATAAAGCCTTGTCATAGATTGGTTTGTCAGGTCCACCAGGCATTGATCTACTTAGCAGGTACCTTATGAAGCACAAGAGAGAGGATGGCCAGAGGAAATCTGTGGCAGAGGAGGCTAGCTCCAAATCTGGAATCAGAACACCCTGTTCCAGAACCAGCTCTGCCTCTTACAAGCCAGGCCCCTCACTGAACCTCTGTGACTCAGCTTCCTAGTGCATAAAATGTCAATGACATTTCACTTAGTAGAATGGGTTCCAGCAAGAATGGAAAAACAAGCACCACATGTACTCACCATCAAATTGGTATTGACTTATCAACACTTAAGTGCACATACAGTAATAACATTCATCAGGTGTCATGCAGGTGGGAGCGAGGAGGAGGGGATGGGTATATTCACACGTAATGGGTACGGTGCACACCGTCTAGGAGATGGATACACTTGACTCTGACTCTGGTGGGGCAAAGGCAATACATGGGCGTGGGACACATTGGAGACAGGAGGACCTGTTATCAAAGGAGGTCACCGACAGCCCTGTCCATGACCCAGGGACAAGAGGCTATGGCAGGACTAGAAGGAAAGCTCCTGAGAAGGGGCTACTTGTGACTCGAAGCCAGAGCACGTCTGAATGTCCACTTGGAACACACAACATCCCTGGAACGTCTTCAAACGCACAAGTCTTCTTAATGTCCAGCTCTGGCGACAGGAAAACACCGGGCTTCTGGTTCCTCCAGACAGTCAAAGGCGAGCCGCGGCCAGGCCTATCAACCCCATCCTCGCAGGGCCCAGTGCATCAGCTGCCCTCCCACCCGCCATGGCTGCCACACTGGCCCCGCAGGTCTAGGGACCTACACAAGAATGAGACAGCTGTGTGCCCTTGCACACACAAAGCCCACCCAGATCAGGGGCTCAAAAGTGCAGTCAAGGGAGGAGAGGTCAAGAGGGGCCCACAAGGAAATCGAGGAAAGCACAGAAGGTCCCCAGCGGGGAGCCACCTCTGGGGCTCCCTTCAGAGCAGCAGCAGCTATCGGGCCTGGGACTCGCCCCTCCCGGCTCTCTCCGAAATGGCTTCTCTCTGTCCCTCCAGGCCAGATCTGGTTTCACCAGACTTGGAACTCTCCAAGCCCTTTCCTGCTGTGAACTGATTTATTTGGATGCGTCTGTCACAGCGTGACTGAAGGGCGTCTGGCCGCCCGGAGCCCAGCTGTGGCAGATGTTGCCTTGGAACGGCCTGCGAGGCCAGGCTCGCATGGATTTTGCCCACCCCTTCCCTTCGTTCCTCCCGTCTCCGTCCTGGGAAAGACTTGGAGGGGGGTGAGAACATCCGCACAACCCAGGGGAAGCAGGAAAGAGAACAGGACAACTGGGAGCGTGGAGGAGGCTGGGTGTGCTGGTGCCGCCAGTGCCGGGGGCAAGGTGCTGCCTGTGGCTGTGAGCAAGTCTACGGCCCCCAAGCCCACCCCTCCGCTCGTTTCTACCTCTGAGACTCAGCTCACCAACTCTGACAAGAGCGTTCCAACCCCCAGGACCAAGTACGCTCCTCTCCCCCATCCGTCACACAGCACCTGACTCTCCCCCGACAAAGCAATTGACACAGAGCAGCTACAGCGGCAGTGATCTGACCAGGGGCTGTGTTTGGCAACGGCTTGCACAACTCCTGAAAATTTAGCAACTGGGACCCAGGGAAATCTGGCTCAATGCTCCATTGAGCTGCCTCCCCGTCCCCCGACAGTGGGCCCCTGAGGACAGGGGCCGTGCCTGTCTATGTAGACTCTCTGCAGCATGACAGACAGACCCAGCCAGCCACCGCAGTTCAACATCCAAGCTGTCCCCTGCATTGAGCCTGCTCTCCTTAATTCACCCAAAGAAGAAAGCCAAGCAAGCAGGATCTGATAAAGTAGGAGCAGGTGTCAGAAGGGAGCATGGCCAAGGACTGACAGTGGCAGGTGGTGGGCAGCCAAGACGACTCACAGACAGTGATGCAGAGCCTGGGGAGGACTGGTGGGCACGGGACGGGGACAACAGAGGTCAGAGAGGACTGGTGGGCACGGGACACAGGGCTGCCTTCCCTAGCACCCAGACCCCTCCTAGATACTGTCACTCAACAAATATTTATTGTCCACTGTGTGTGAAGCACTGCTCTACATTAAACAGAGTCCTGCTGTCACGGAGATTAAATTCTACTGAGGAAGAGACCCAAGGCGCAGCAACAAGAAGCCCCGCGTGGAGGACGCTGTGCTAGTGCGAGTGCACGGACTTGGCTTCAACGTGAGGAAGAACTTGATGTGGGACGTAATCCTAGGGATGTTAGACAGGTGCTTCTCAAGGAAAAGTTAATCATGGCTAAGCATGGAAAAACGACTTTTTTTCACTCAGGACTTCCCAGGCCCCCGGGTGTGCTGGTGGGGGCTGACAGGCTGCAGTGCTTATGCGACTTGCTTTAGGGATGGAAGGGAAAAAAGTAGGTCGGTGGCGGGGAGGGGTCCTAGGTGAAGACCCAGAGGCTCAGATGTCCTGTGGAGCCAGCGTAGGAAAAGGGCTTCAAAGTCCAGGTTACGGAGACCCTAGCAGGGAAACCAGAGGAGGGAAGGCTGACCCAGAAATGTGGCAGCTCTGGCCGGCTTAGCCACTGCTGCTTGGCACCCTGCTTCCCCCAAGCTCCCAGGGGAAAAGGGTCCCTAGTGGCACTTGGCTGGGGAAAGCACCCGCTTCGGTCCTTCCAGTAGCAGGGCCGAGCCCCGTGCTGGGAGCACAGCTTGGCAGGTCAACTGGCCCCTGGACCACAGTCCTGGGCAGACCCCTGAGGGAGCACTGGAGCCTCCTGGGAGCTCGGGGTGAGACACAGGCCTCCAGCGAACCTAATAACGTCCCCAAGGGTTTCTAAACTGAGTCCCATGGGACCCTAGGGGTCCTCCAAGGTGCCTTAGGAGGCACTGAGAGAGGTGACAGAGAAGCTGAGGGTGGGGCTTCTGGCCCCTCCTGCCCCAGCCATGCAAGTCCCCCCGCAGTCTGTACTGGGCTGTGCACCAGACTCATCCCACACTGAAAAAGCAAAACAAATTTCCAACACGCCAAGGCTCCAGCATTTGCCTCTGGCCCCTCCAGGCAGACAAACAGCCACCTCCTAAGAGGTTCTCCCCTCTTAAGGGTCCTATGCCTGAGCCGTGGACTTGGCAGCTGGCCAGATGCTCTTCCTCACACACTCGGGTCCACCTGTCTCCCGCTCTGGAACAGGAAGGCAGAGGACGAAAGTCAGACCCGGGAAGGAGATGGCACCACAGTGAGCAGAGAGCAGGGCGGCCCGACAAGCACTGCGTCAGCCACTGCGTAATCCCAACGTCCCCGCTGACAGCCCCTGCCATCCCTCACTCCCAGCCCAGGATCCCGCCTCCACCCCGGGCTGCTGCTGCTCCAGAGCCCACGAAGACCCCTCTGTGCCTTTTGGCCCTTCTTTGTTTCTCTCACAGCAGAATTTACCAATTTTTGAGCCAACTCTGAATGACAACCATTTTCCCTGGGATTAAAAATCCTTTTAACCGATCCTTCATGCCACACAGGCTGCGCCTGGGAAGAACATCTGGGAGGCACGTCTGGTCCTGTAGCTGACCTCCCTTGCAGACGAGCCTTTGTGGGCACGAACCCTGGTCCCAGCTGTACCACCAGGATGGGGCTTTGGGTCCCAGCTTCAGGCAAGGACTTGCTCAATCCCTGGAGATAGTCGTTGAACGTCTCTGAGCCCGTTTCCAGCTCTTTACAATGTGGGGAGACCCTGCTCCCCAAGTCCCCTAACCATGCACTGCAGCGAGAAGCGGGGCAGTAGCTCAGGGAGGTCAGCATCCTCCAGGAAGGCAGAGAATCGCAGTAAGCCCAAGTATCGGTTCTCAGGCATGAGTGTTGAGGGATATAAAGACATTTTTGTGGCAGGCTCAGAAAGTCTCAGTACAATTCCTCACTCTTTCCTTCAGCTGCCACCCCTAAGACAGCCTGACCTTGACCTATGCTTTTGCCAGTGTGATTTTCTAGAAGCCCCAGATAGCTGTGCCTTATCTTTCTTGGGAATAAAGTTGCTGAGGGCTGATTGGAAAGGAGGGAGCGTCCACCCAAGGACCAGGGTGTCATGGAGGAGAGATGGCGGCAGCGGTGGGACCCACGGGGTGCGGAGGGGGTCAGCCGTGTGAGCGGCTCCACTCCTGGCAGCGGCACCGCCACGGACCTCCCTGGAGCCAGCCAGTCCGGTCAGACTGATTAGGCCAATTGGCTCTTTATCTGGGACCAACAGATAAGGCTGCTGCCCAAGAGAGGTGACTGTGGGATGTGCCCAGCGGGAAGGAGACCCAAGAACACTGCAGCTGACAGCTGACAGGGAGGGCAGAGCCTGCTCTGTGGGTCACAATGGCTTCCTGTTGAGATGGGGACACTGGGCCCCGCCTGGACACCCT